TTCCATAAACACAACCTCATTGATCAGAGAGATATAGAGAGATGAGATCTTAAACCCTCCCAGCATGATCCAACATGTATAGTTTATATATTATTTTCTAGTTTTGATCTTGTTTTGATCTGATATGGTATGACATGGCAATGTGTGCGGGACATTGCGGGACAACGGGGCGACCTCCTTTCGCAGTTTTTTTCTCCTCTGCCGGAGCTCCTGAGTGAATGACAGGATGGCAACATGAATGGAAACATGTCACATCAGCGAAGAATTGTCTTTTAAAAGAAGGTGGGTTTCACATGTCGCAAGCCACCCGTTCAGTCTAACAAACTGTGCCTCAACATGTCTTAAACATGATAAAATCAGGTTTTACAAGTTTATAAAATGCCAACAAAACTAATTTTGCTGACAGAAACCCTAATGGAACTGGCCCAGGGATTTCATAAACAAAACCTCATTGATCAAAGAGATATAGAGAGATGAATGAGATCTTAAACCCTCCCAGCATGATCCAACATGTATAGGTTTATTATTTTCTAGTTTTGATCTTGCTTTGATCTGATATGGTATGACATGGCAATGTGTGCGGGACATTGCGGGACAACGGGGCGACCTCCTTTTGCAGTTTTTTTCTCCTCTGCCGGAGCTCCTGAGTGAATGGCAGGATGACAACATGAGGGGAAACATGTCACATCAGTGAAGAATTGTCTGTAAAATAAGGTGGGTTTCACATGTCGCAAGCCACCCGGTTCAGTCTAACAAACTGTGCCTCAACATGTCTTAAACATGGTAAAATCAGGTTTTTTTTACCAATTTATAAAATGCCAACAAAACTAATTTTGCTGACAGAAACCCTAATGGAACTGGCCCAGGGATTCCATAAACAAAACCTCATTGATCAGAGAGATATAGAGAGATGAGATCTTAAACCCTCCCAGCATGATCCAACATGTATAGTTTATATATTATTTTCTAGTTTTGATCTTGTTTTGATCTGATATGGTATGACATGGCAATGTGTGCGGGACATTGCGGGACAACGGGGCGACCTCCTTTCGCAGTTTTTTTCTCCTCTGCCGGAGCTCCTGAGTGAATGGCAGGATGGCAACATGAATGAAAAGTCGCATCAGTGAAGAATTGTCTGTAAAAAAAGGTGGGTTTCACATGTCGCAAGCCACCCGGTTCAGTCTAACAAACTGTGCCTCAACATGTCTTAAACATGGTAAAATCAAGTTTTTTTACCAATTTATAAAATGCCAACAAAACTAATTTTGCTGACAGAAACCCTAATGGAACTGGCCCAGGGATTCCATAAACAAATCCTCATTGATCAGAGAGATATAGAGAGATGAGATCTTAAACCCTCCCAGCATGGTCCAACACGTATAGTTTACTATTTTCTAGTTTTGATCTTGTTTTGATCTTGTTTTGATCTGATATGGTATGACATGGCAATGTGTGCGGGACAACGGGGCGACCTCCTTTTGCATTTTTTTCTCCTCTGCCAGAGCTCCTGAGTGAATGGCAGGATGACAACATGAAGGGAAACATGTCCACCCGGTTCAGTCTAACAAACTGTGCCTCAACATGTCTCAAACATGATAAAATCATTTTTTTAACCAATTTATAAAATGCCAACAAAACTAATTTTGCTGACAGAAACCCTAATGGAACTGGCCCAGGGATTCCATAAACACAACCTCATTGATCAGAGAGATATAGAGAGATGAGATCTTAAACCCTCCCAGCATGATCCAACATGTATAGTTTATATATTATTTTCTGGTTTTGATCTTGTTTTGATCTGATATGGTATGACATGGCAATGTGTGCGGGACATTGCGGGACAACGGGGCGACCTCCTTTCGCAGTTTTTTTCTCCTCTGCCGGAGCTCCTGAGTGAATGACAGGATGGCAACATGAATGGAAACATGTCACATCAGCGAAGAATTGTCTTTTAAAAGAAGGTGGGTTTCACATGTCGCAAGCCCCCGGTTCAGTCTAACAAACTGTGCCTCAACATGTCTTAAACATGATAAAATCAGGTTTTACCAGTTTATAAAATGCCAACAAAACTAATTTTGCTGACAGAAACCCTAATGGAACTGGCCCAGGGATTTCATAAACAAAACCTCATTGATCAAAGAGATATAGAGAGATGAGATCTTAAACCCTCCCAGCATGATCCAACATGTATAGGTTTATTATTTTCTAGTTTTGATCTTGCTTTGATCTGATATGGTATGACATGGCAATGTGTGCGGGACATTGCGGGACAACGGGGCGACCTCCTTTCGCAGTTTTTTTCTCCTCTGCCGGAGCTCCTGAGTGAATGGCAGGATGACAACATGAAGGGAAACATGTCACATCAGTGAAGAATTGTCTGTAAAATAAGGTGGGTTTCACATGTCGCAAGCCACCCGGTTCAGTCTAACAAACTGTGCCTCAACATGTCTTAAACATGGTATAAAATCAGGTTTTTTTTACCAATTTATAAAATGCCAACAAAACTAATTTTGCTGACAGAAACCCTAATGGAACTGGCCCAGGGATTCCATAAACAAATCCTCATTGATCAGAGAGATATAGAGAGATGAGATCTTAAACCCTCCCAGCATGGTCCAACACGTATAGTTTACTATTTTCTAGTTTTGATCTTGTTTTGATCTTGTTTTGATCTGATATGGTATGACATGGCAATGTGTGCGGGACAACGGGGCGACCTCCTTTCGCATTTTTTTCTCCTCTGCCAGAGCTCCTGAGTGAATGGCAGGATGACAACATGAAGGGAAACATGTCCACCCGGTTCAGTCTAACAAACAGTGCCTCAACATGTCTTAAACATGGTAAAATCAGGTTTTTTTTACCAATTTATAAAATGCCAACAAAACTAATTTTGCTGACAGAAACCCTAATGGAACTGGCCCAGGGATTCCATAAACAAAACCTCATTGATCAGAGAGATATAGAGAGATGAGATCTTAAACCCTCCCAGCATGATCCAACATGTATAGTTTATCATTTTCTAGTTTTGATCTTGTTTTGATCTGATATGGTATGACATGGCAATGTGTGCGGGACAACGGGGCGACCTCCTTTTGCATTTTTTTCTCCTCTGCCGGAGCTCCTGGGTGAATGGCAGGATGGCAACATGAATGAAAAGTCACATCAGTGAAGAATTGTCTGTAAAAAAAGGTGGGTTTCACATGTCGCAAGCCACCCGTTCAGTCTAACAAACTGTGCCTCAACATGTCTCAAACATGATGAAATCATTTTTTTTTAACCAATTTATAAAATGCCAACAAAACTAATTTTGCTGACAGAAACCCTAATGGAACTGGCCCAGGGATTCCATAAACAAAACCTCATTGATCAGAGAGATATAGAGAGATGAGATCTTAAACCCTCCCAACATGATCCAACATGTACAGTTTATATCAGTTTATTATTTTCTAGTTTTGATCTTGCTTTGATCTGATATGGTATGACATGGCAATGTGTGCGGGGCAACGGGGCTACCTCCTTTCGCAGTTTTTTTCTCCTCTGCCAGAGCTCCTGAGTGAATGGCAGGATGGCAACATGAATGGAAACATGTCACATCAGTGAAGAATTGTCTGTAAAATAAGGTGGGTTTCACATGTCGCAAGCCACCCGGTTCAGTCTAACAAACTGTGCCTCAACATGTCTTAAACATGGTAAAATCAGGTTTTTTTTTACCAATTTATAAAATGCCAACAAAACTAATTTTGCTGACAGAAACCCTAATGGAACTGGCCCAGGGATTCCATAAACAAAACCTCATTGATCAGAGAGATATAGAGAGATGAGATCTTAAACCCTCCCAGCATGGTCCAACACGTATAGTTTACTATTTTCTAGTTTTGATCTTGTTTTGATCTTGTTTTGATCTGATATGGTATGACATGGCAATGTGTGTGGGACATTGTGGGACAACGGGGCGACCTCCTTTCGCAGTTTTTTTCTCCTCTGCCAGAGCTCCTGAGTGAATGGCAGGATGGCAACATGAATGGAATGTCACACCAGTGAAGAATTGTCTGTAAAAAAAAGGTGGGTTTCACATGTCGCAAGCCACCCGTTCAGTCTAACAAACTGTGCCTCAACATGTCTTAAACATGATAAAATCAGGTTTTACCAGTTTATAAAATGCCAACAAAACTAATTTTGCTGGCAGAAACCCTAATGGAACTGGCCCAGGGATTCCATAAACAAAACCTCATTGATCAGAGAGATATAGAGAGATGAGATCTTAAACTCTCCCAACATGATCCAACATGTACAGTTTTAGTTTTGTCATGTTATGTCTGATATGGTCATATACGGTCATATATGAGCATATATGATACAATATGATTAAATACGGATGGATATGAGTGGATGACATGTTTGCAAATTCTTGCAACACGTGCCCTTCTCAAAACTGCAGAGCGGGAAGCTTTCAGGTGTCCGTTTTCAGGTGTCTGTGGAACACGAACGGCCAACAAGGATTTGCCAGGCTTGAAGACATGCAAAACATGCTTGCTTTGCATTTCCAAACTGATGTCTGCAGAAAAGACTTGTAAAAAATGACTCAACAAATATGGGAGTCCTGTCGGTTCTGTCGATTCTGTCGATTCTTCGGCCTTCTTGATCTTGCCTTTCCCTTTTTCGCCTCCTGAACAACAGCAGGGAGCGTAGCAATCACAAGCAATCACGGGTTATTTTCTGTGGGCAGTACTGTCTACTGTTGTGATCTGTTATGATCTTTTAATATCTTTTATGTTATGCCAGTTTTGGTTGGATGACCCTCCAAAGTTCTACCTCGGCGATCCCTGGGGCAAAATGTAAGAGTGCTTGGATGGTTTGAGAATAGTCGAGATTTCCTAATGGGGATCACTGAGCCTGATATCACACATGCACACCTTTTGCAACCTTTTGGTCTTGGCAGCGCGGAAATCAGGACTAAGCAGCGGACTTGACCACTTTCACCACTTTGTGGGTGAGTGTTTTCACTCTTTGCCCTCATGCTGATTCTGCCAGCACATTACCACAGCTGATACAAATTTAGCAGGGTAACTGGCACTACTGGCCAAGTCTGGACCTCCATGGAAACCTTTGTCATTTTTGACATAGTAGACCTTGACATACTTGCCTTGGGCTTTGGCTCTTTCAATTTTGCGCTCCATGCGATTACGATGCTTTGCTCTGACTGCCTTTGTAGCTTTGCGTACAACGGCTGACAGAGTCGCCATGTTCGAATACAAGTGTGTAGATTTTAGCAAGTCATGGCCGAATATTCCTAAATGAGTCAGGTAGCGCTTCAAATCCCATATGTTTATGAAATCCTTTGAGGCTTCCTGCTTGAACAGCCAGCTTGTCATAGGTTGTTCCACCATGATTCGCAAAGTGGGACGCCACCAGAATGCCAGCATCAAAAGGGTGGCCTGTAGCATTGTGACCCAGACCATTTTATAAAACACATGCCATTCCAAAGATACAAAAGTTTCCTATGGATCACTATATCCGATGCATTTTATAAACCTACATGAGTCCTCCGGTTTTAAAGATCATATAGAAAAAACATGAAAACACATGAAAACATGGAAAAACATGGAAAAACATGGAAAAACATGGAAAAACTATATGTATATACTATATAGGATTTCACCGGATTTCCACTGGTTGGGGCCTGAATTCTGTCCACCGAGACACGGTGTTTGCAAGTATCAAATTGCTGAGCCGCACACATTTCAGGCTGATGTCGCCAAGCAAATCTACTGCCTGATGGATGGATAGCAGAAAGACTTTAGAAGGTTTATGAAAGTTTATGTTTTGGGTGTGGGTTGAGGATGTGTTCCTTAACCCGCAAAGTACAGAAAGAGTTGCACCTTATAAATCACACCCAAGGTTCACTGCGTTTGTGCGTTCCCTGCGAGATGCCGACATAAAGGGAACAAGGTGGTGCAACCGGTAAAAAGGCACCATCTAAGGTCCTGAGATGCTGCTGTCAAAGCAAATTATTTTGGCATGGGCGTCACTGTTCTAGACAAGTTCCCCTGCAGCTTGATCAGATTTGTCATGATTTGTTTGCAGCAAACATTCTGCTTGCCGCTGCAACTTGCAACCAAGCTGCTGCAAGATCATGTCCAAAAGCAAACGAAACCCAGATGGCGATGTGATGTCCTGGTCATCACTGTTCTTCACGTCAAATGAAGTGGCAGCAAAACCAAGCTTCTGGAATGCTCGTTCAAATTTGCGACTGTGTGAGAATGTGTCCACACACATATACTGCCGTTCGCCGGACCAAGTTCGGCAGTATTGCGTCAAGTGGATCCAGTCATGTGATGCACTGTACCACTGGTGCTCTGGCAAGGTAGATGAAGCATCTAAACCGCGTTTTGCTCCAAATGCAACCTGGGCAGCAACATGCCTTTAAGTCAGGAAGGCCTATGATTCTGCAAAATAGATTATTGATATGATTTGATATGTATATGTATTGATATGTATTGATATGATTTGATATGATTTGATATGTACTGATGGTTATTGGTAAGTATTGATGATTGTTGATGAATATGAACTGTTATGAAAGAAACAATCATGCATGCTTTTAATAGATCCTGTTCATTTTTATAAAAAGCAATACCAGCAGCACAGAGCCACAACACATCGTCTTGCAAAGGTTTTCCACATTTTATAAGCATGGTGTTGCTCACTGGGAAAGGCAACATGCCAGTTACACAACATATGCCAGGAGTTAAACATGTTGTAAAATGGCTTTCAGTGACACTCAACACAAATAAGCTAAAGATAAATTTGGTGTTGGCATTTTATAAACAAGTACTTCGACAGAGCACCACTCACAGCCCCAGCAACCGGAGAAATGGAGAGCCAACACAGCACGACCCACATCACCGCCAGTGAAGCCATCTCTAAATGACAAACAAATCACACGATAGCAAGAAAATGCCAAAAAGACAACTGCAGCTGCAGCGCGAGACTCGCAGCAATGGCAGCTGTGTCTACCTTGATCTACTTTATGTTATTTGGGCCAAAAACACAGAGCAAAACCAAGGGTGACGCTATGCCAAATTTCTGAAAAAAAAGGCCCCATGACGCATGAGGAAGCGTAGGGACATGAATGTTTGTTTGATTTCTTTATATCCCCATCAAAAACATTGAACATGGTATATAGATGTAAATAATATATAGGTGATCAATGAACACATGAACCTGGCGCCACCCAGTCCCCCAGCTGTCCTTTTTCTTCAGCCTTTTCAGCCTTTTCAGCCTTTTCAGCCTTGTCTTTTGCCTGTCACGCTTGTCCAAAGAATCAGAAGGAGGAATAAAGGAAGGGGCATGGGTTTGTTTTCTGAAGATTTTTACTTTATATTTTCTCAACTAATTAACAATCCCTTCACTTCATATGTTCATGTTTCATTTTTTTTCAAAAAAATCTGATATTTCACGATCCTTCATTTTTTTCCACATCTTTCGTCATCTTGCATCATCTTTCATCATCTGTCATCATCTTTCACCTACACAATCATGGATTAAGCCTGCTTCTGAGTCCCGATGCTCTTGCTCAAGCATGAAGTCCATATCCATGATTCCCTGAGCCGAGAAGGGGATGATGAAGACAGACCAGGAAACCGAAACAAAGCCAACCAACAGATAAGCCCTACGATCTCTACTATGAAAAATGAAACAAACGTTGGGGAACTGAAAGTTTTCTGTGTTTACAAATTGGACCAACCAGCAACAGAAACATGTTGCTCACCATTCTCAAACATTGCATTCATTTTATAATCGCCCAACCCCAATCTGAAGCTCGCATTTTCAAATGTTCAACCAAATATGAAAGTTTTCTGTGTTTACAAATTGGACCAACCAGCAATAGAAACATGTTGCTCATCATTCTCAAACATTGCATTCATTTTATAATCGCCCAACCCCAATCTGAAGCTCGCATTTTCAAATGTTCCCATTTTCTTACACAAAGATAGACTGTATCTTCAGCCAATGATGGGTAACCTGAAAACTGATGGCCGGATCTTACAAAGGCAATGCATTTTATAAACGTGCAAACATGGCGCAGCTCGTTGTCAAAGTAGCACTCGTGGTTCGATGGGAGACCTCCTGCCCGCAGTTGATCACATCTTGTGCCTGACAGTGTGAAATCCAATGTCTTCTGTGGCAAGATGTTTTTCAAAGCATGCCAAATCATGTCTATTTTTTCATGGCAAGTTCTTCATAGTCGAGTCTGAATGCATGATGTCAAATTGTCATGCCTTCCTTGACTTGTTTACCTGCCCTGCCCCCCTCCCCCACTGTCGTCCATGAAAAAATCAAGTTGCGCCAAACATTGCGCACAGAATCCCACTCCGGTTTGTGCACACCCCCAGGACACGTTTGACCAACTCCGCAGATTTTGGGAGCATTTTTCGGCACGCTTTTCATGGCTTGAGAGGCTGAGCGGCTGGATTGGAAGAAAAATTGGCATGTTGGAATTCTCCCAAAAATTTAAACATCATTGTTTGTGCACTTCTTTGGATTTGTAATGATTTGTGATTTGTGCATATTTTCCATTTTTGTTCCCACCTGTCAAGGAAAATCCTTCAGAGTGAGCCAAATGGAGGATGTGATGCGAGGATGGGCACATGTTATTTCAATCTCCAAGCTCCCATTTACAAAATGCCTTGCCGGTCAAAATAATGGAAAATACAACTGAACATAGTATACACCCTTTTTTATTTATAAAATGCATTTTGCGGGTATCACAACACTTAAAAAAAATTAGCATAATCTATCATCCATACATGATGGCATATTTTTTATAAAATGCCTCGCCGTACAAAAGAATTCCCAAAATAAATATATATATTTTTTTGGAAATTATTTTCGTTTATGAGAAGGTAGTTGGGGGGGGCATTTTGTAACGCCAAGCGAGTGGCATTCTGTAAAGGAACAATCATGGGGGATAAACTTACTATGATTAGTGTTTGTTGATTGTTAACGAACTATCATTCGGTGGATTTGGTAAAATCATGGTCAACCCATGTCAACCCACAGAAGAGAGAACAATCAGCAGGAATCAACGCCTCCCTAGAAATTGTGCCATCCTTTTTCGATGACATCTTTGGCCGCTCTATCTGCATGTTCTTCTTGCATCAATGCTATTGTTTCGGAGAAACTTGAAATAACTTGAACAGTGGGATGAATAAACCCATGTCGTTGAGACTTTGGAGGTTTCCACCATTCCGTCACTCAAAACTACTCAAAATTCAAATTACCCATGGCACATCAAATCCTGTTGAGAGATAACGAATCTTCCACCAAAACACTGGACCAGTGGACTGCTTCCGACCAATTCATCGTACAATGTCCGACACGAAAGCCAGGGCTTGCCTGTGAGAGAAGTTGCCACGGTTTGCCTGCAGAAATTTTGCGAATTCGAACACCCCACTTGGAGCTTGAGCCTAATTGATGAAGTGTCATGTCTCCAAGACATACAGCAAACCGCCGCAACTAACATCAACTAGCAATAACAATCTACCCGGACCAGGCAGTGGGTGCAACCACTAGCACTGCGAAAAGATCAGAACATCTTTTCTCCGGTGCTCAGCGCATTCGGAGGCTGACACGTTCGCCCATCCTGACATCGATGGTTGAGAGATCCATCCCAGCGAAACAATGCGAAAGCACCAAATGGGGATGGGTCAACGTTTGAGATCTGGGGGACCACAGATTTTAGTCCATGTTTATTCTTAGTATTTCTTAGTATTATATAGTATATTACAACCACCATTTGATTATTGGGGTACCCAAGTTTGACCCATACCCAAATGTCGTATTGTCGCCGACTTTGAACCCCTGGCACCTCTTCCTTCTTTTTTTCCGGGCCAGACCTGGCCGGTGCATTGCATCCAATTATGTATCCATAGGCCTGTTGGAAAGGCACCATTTCAATGGCTTGCAACGTGCTCAATTCTAGTATCCATACCCATCTGCTCCAATCTCCAGGGATACTTTAATTTACTCCTGCAGTTGGCTCATGTTTGGGATAAATGCTATCAAAATACCATACGTGCAGCTATATGTCCTACATGTTCTTTACCATTAATAACTACGTATTTTTGATACGTGTTATGACCGCCGTTCATCGCCGGTGGCAATATTTCTTCGCCAACGACCAGGCAGGCGTGCGGTTGGTCTTATTCATCAGCTCCATAGCAGGACGTTCAACGCTAACCAGCTCCTTCAAATAGCTTGAGCCTGCCAATTTCGATGACCAGGAAAAATAGTCTGGCTTAAAGGGCTCAACATGTATCTAAGCAACCAAAAGTTGGGTTTCAAATGTTTCAAGGTGTTGAAGGAAAAAAAAAGCATCCACACACTTAACCAAAAAAAAATGGGCTTTGAACAGTCACACATGGCAGCAACTGATCACAATCCTGAGTTGATTGATTGCAGTTGGTCACCTCAATTTGCAGGGTCTTATGGGAACCATTGGGAACCCGAAATCAACCTCTATGCAGTACCAAGATCATCCCGGTAGTACCTTGAGCGGCCCTTTCCTCCACTTTGAGCGCCTCAGGAAGGCGTTTTTTTTTTTTGGTCTTCTGGATGCATCATCCAAATTCTGGACTGGAAGGATTTTCAGACTGATTAAGAATGATTAAGATATTAGGTTTCACTATGTTTCACTGATTTGATAATGTTTGATACATATCAAGATTTTAAGAACTACAAGGAACACGATTTGTTCATGATGCAGGTGCCCATTTGCCGCCTGTCGCAAGAAGTCATTGGAGCTGCACGGAGCCTGAAAGAAGTGCCATCAAAAACGATGGCTTGGTTGCTTGACATCCAATCATTGGTACCCTCTGGTAATTTAACATAGCTATTGAAAATGGCCCATTTATAGTGGATTTACCCATTAAAAATGGTGATTTTCCATAGCTATGTTAGTTTACCAGAGGGTAATCATCCAATCATTGGCCATTGGTTAGTGGTTGGTGTTAAAGTCATTGGTCATTGGTCATTGGTCATGATCTCAGGTCAGGTTGATCCAAAGATAAACCACCAACCCAGGAGTTCACAGCGCTGGATTCAGTGAAAAAGTGGCAGTCAATTCCTGTTCCCAAGCAGTGCTTAGAGTCTTAGAGAAAGCCAAAGGCATGCGTTCAGAAGTCCAACCGGACAATGTCACACACGTTGGATCTTTAAAAACTTGGCGGTTTTCATGTTCATCTGATGACAGGGACAGGGATATAATATAAATTTAATTAAAATCATAATTACAATTATGTTTATGTAACAGTATGATGTAATCATGTAATCAATACATGATTGGGATAACCCCGGCTACACATGGGATGTCCCAAAAATGGAATTTCTGCCAAATCGGCGCTGAGTTGGCACCTGAACAGGCGAAGTTGGCACTTGCTGTAGTCCAAGTGGCAGCGAAGTGAAACCTCAGCATGGCCCTATGGCCCGGTATGCAGATTATCAGTGCACCTGCTACTGTTGTACCCCATCTAGCCATCATACAGGAGATTTCCCTGGGATTTGGCCACTTGGCCGGCACGATAAGCTTCGCCCCTTTTCTCTTGGCAGACTGTGAGTTCTCACCTTGTAAAGCTGCAGGAAGAGAGCACACTGTGGCGAGGCAAACAGCATGTCGATACTCAGTCTGCAAAAACGGGCACGGCAATCTGCATTGCAACTGTCATCTCTGCAAGACGTTGAAATCAAAATACCGAGGTTATCCAAGAGCAGGGATGCTTTATCCGTGATATTAGAAACTCTTTTGACCCCCATGAGTTCTTCAATCTTCCAGCAGTATCTTGTTTATCTTGTTTCAGTATCTTGCAGTGACTGCAGTGATTCTGAAGTCCCTCACTCTTTAATCCAGTAAACGAATTTGGGGCCGATCGGATCGCCAACTCGGCAGCTTTGTACAGGAGGCCCGTCCCCAACAGCTCTTTAGCCACCGCGGATACGTCCCACTGGCTAAAAAAACATATGTGGAAACCTACAGTATTTACACCATAAACCACTTGGGTACCACTTGGAAACTCAGAATTCTATGGGACCTACGGTATATCCCCAATGTTTGGACATACCCACAGTTTGTAAAACACTTATAGAATCTTATAGAAATTAAACTGTAGTAATGGTATTTGCGCTGTGCCAAAATAGAGCTGTTAGTGATGCGGAAGGACTATGAGTAGGCTTCATCATACTCGTCATATCGCACGTAGCCATTGTCGTTGAAAGTGTGAAACTGCACATTTGGTGCTGGTACATACATTTCTTCATCACGGCGTTGCCTTTGTCTCTGTCGAAACCAAGCGATGGCCTTAGCTCACCATAGACAAGCGTGGAAAAGTCAGGCCAGCTACGAAAAATCCGATATATATATATATATATGCATATATATAATATTATATAATATAATTATTGTATAATTATAATAAGCATTAGATCATTAGATCATATTCGATGTAATCATATGACCGTCTTATAATCTTGAATTTGCATCTAGATCAAGTATACGTCCGGTGCTCCGGGAGGACACTGGATTTCCACCGAGGAACGATGCCCAAGGTTCCGAAGAACAGCACGAGGCGTACGATGCCCCACAAGCTATCTCCGCCCTGCGACAGCGGTGAGGCTGTCAGGCTCAGAGCAAACGAAAAGTGTCAGATCTATCGAATCTATCACTTCAATCAGCATCAAGCATGATTTAAAGCTAAATACAACTCATGGATCATGACAACACTTTAGACTGCAAACTCAGAGTTTCCCAATCACCAGCCATTTCGTGGCATCCCGGTTGCTCCTCGTATTTGGGTGGTGCTGGTGGTTTGCAGCCACACGCTTCGAGGTCGTATCGAGTCGCGCCAGGTTGTAATTTGGCTTCTAAGACACACGGGTCCACAGTTGGCCTCGTGTGAAGCATTGTCTGTGAGATGCTCACCCAGCTGCTGACGAGATTTGTCTCATTTTCTTTCTCAATCATTCAGCTGAACTGACAACTTTGGAATCATAGGTTTCTCAAGCGCATGAACAAATCATCAAAACCATCAACTGGAAGCTGAAATGATCATCATCATCATCATCATCATCATCCTCGTCGTCGTCGTCATCATCATCATCGTCGTCGTCGTCATCATCATCATCATCATCATCAGCAGCAGCAGAAAAAGCAGCAAAAGCAGCAAAAGCAGCGATTATCTATCTATATCTATCTTTATCTATCTTTATCTATACTATATCTATATCTATCTCTATCTCTATCGGTCTCCATCTATATATATTATATATGATCATACATATTTATAAATATCTATATCTCTCTATATCTATCTATATCTATCTCTATCTATCTCTATCTATCTCTATCTATTTATCTCTATCTATCAATCTCTATCGATCTATCTATTTGTCTATCTAGGACACTTGATGACACCTGCGACAATTTGCTGTTCAATTCTCAGCCAGCTGACCTTTGCGCATCCGCCCAGCTCTGCAAAAGCTTGCAGGAGAAGCAGTGCATGTGACTCGCATCCCCTTCGGCCCAGCCACATCCGGCCTCGCCAGCAAGACATCTCAAGTTGACGTTGGAAACTGTCCATCGGTTTTTCCGTCTGATTGTCATCGAATCCAAATAGATTTATATAAATCCAAATGTATGTCACAGAGACGCTGCGGGGATGGACATTGTACATTGAAAAAATGCCTACTTTTATGACTTCTACCTGCGCAGTTGTCCTGCCTCGAAAAATTGCAGGCAGGAAAATGAATCAAAACAAAATGACGCTGATAAACACGTTGGCATGTGCAAAGCAATGCAGGGTTGCAAATCCATCATGAGGCTACTTGAGTCTTCTTCCCGATACAGTAATTGGTACTTTGGGAATCATCATCCCAAACTTCAAACACAAACCAGCATCACAGCCGGCCATATTATTCAGTCACAATGCCATCCAGAACTCACAGATCTCAGTCATTTTTTGTGTTCAATTCATCAACCCCAGAGGTATACGGAATTTTGATTCATCGCCAGGCTTTCATGGCTATGGGTTGCCCCTGTAACCCTAGTTTCCAGACCTTAAAATAGCTGGTGTGTCTGAATGGTACGGATGTTCATTCCCCCCTAGTTTTGATCCAACCTGACATATTTGGTTTTGCTAGTTATACAACTCACTATCATTTACAGTATAACATGTTATAACCCCATGATGTCTCCATTATTGGTTGCATTTGTTGACTGTATACCCCCTCTATCCCCTTCGAATTTCATTGTTGAAATCATAGAAATCGAAATGGTTCTAAATGTCTCATGTTTAAATCTTGATCCATCCGATCCATCCCCCAGTTTTGCTGCTTATCCCATGTTATCCTATGTTATCCCATTGATGTCTGGCATCCCCTTCTCCCAGCTACCGCTTTTCAGCACGTCCAGCCTTCAAACAGCTGTCACGAGAAGACTCCGCACAGCCCTCCTCTTCAGAGACCTCAGATGTGTCAGCGGTGCACTGAATGGAAGTGTTCGAATAGGGAAAATCATCTTTCAAAGCCAGGTTTTTGGGGGTTTGTCAATATTCAGGGTGAGAAACTGAATGCTTACCCCTTTATTATCGTTTATTTGATGGTCAAAATACATGGTTTCCTATGATTTTTGCCCTTAAAAACGATGCTCTAAGGAACCTGAATCACCTGGTGGGCCGTCAGAAGCATTGCTGTCTGCCCCGCCGTGGCTTCCGACTCAGCAGCCAGACCTGCCAGGTGAACCCTTGGCTCCAGTCAGTACGGACCAACGGAAACATCCCAACGACATGCCAATCACATCATTCCGATCATTCCACTGACCTCATCATTCCTTCGATGTTTGTTCAAGCATTTTAGCTTCTTGAATTTTGCACTGCTCAGATATATCAGATATTCCCCATAACATCCCATAACCAACCTGTTTATTTTAACATCTGTTACCAGATGCCAGATGATTTTCCCCAGATTTCCCCCCTGCAAAATGGCAATGTCCACCGTCCAGCACCTAGTGGCGTCGAGATCTTAGAGGCCCATGGCGCTGGTTGAAGTGTCTCGTTCTCCGAGCACTCGGCTCCCAGCAGGCTGTGGACGTGGCCGTCCGAAACCTCCATGGCAGCTGACCGAGCTCCAGGTCTTAAAGGCTTTTTTTAACAGATAGAATAGGTGGAGAAGTATGGAATGCAAATATATATATATATATTTTTTTGATATCCACGTGTTCTGATGTGTAAAATCTATAGTTCTCCCAAATGGCTAAACTCCAATTGGATGTGATTCATGGACAACGAATGGTTGATGGGATCCAACAATGTCCACATCAATCTCTCGGTCCGTTCCAGTTTAAGGCACGTGAGAATACGAAAAACGATCATCAAACACTTGGAGAGATTTCACCAAGATCATAAATGATTGTTTGAACATGTTTGAACATTAAAATATGTTGGCTCATGTTGGATCCAATTTGATGCTTAAAAAAAGTCAAAAGTCGAAAACTCGACCGCTGTGCTGCTGCACCTGCCGCAATGCACATCGGTCAGCCACCAAGAGCTTGCCATGAAGCCAGGCTACCTGACAGTTCCAATGGCAGTTCCAATGGCAGTTCCAGCGTTCGAAAATGGCAGTTCCCACCATGGCATCCATGGCCATCCAAAAAGCCATCCGAAAACCATCAGAAAACAGCCCAAAAAAATATCAAAAAATCCCATCCAATTGTCCAAAGGAATCCCAGGAATCCAAGGGACATGAAGCGGATCCAGCACTGAGGCTTGCTCCACAGAGCCGTCTGCTCCATCACCTGCAGCCCATTGAAATGGCCTGTTTGATGGGAAAACATGGGAAAATGATCTCCAAAATCCATCCAAATCATTCCAAATCTATTGTTTTCGGTCTAAATCATCCAAATCTACTACACCCCGCGAGTTGAATAGAGGTCATTTACAGAAGTGCACCAATAGAGCTATGATCAGGCAACTCCGAACCTAGGGGAACTGGCAGACTTTTAATTGTAGGGATTCTGTAGATGTAAGACATTGCAGTCTCAACAAGCAACTACCGAGGGTCTCAAATTCCGAACGCAAACGGCTATGATTTATCCTGGATCATGACTTCTCGACTTCCGGACACCCGACATTGGTACAGAGGACTATCATGAAACTACAATCAAACAATCATGTCATCAAATGTCAACCAGCTGACCACAAAACCCAATTGATGAGGTGTATATATGCAAAGAATATCCTTCTCCTTATCTCCAACAACCAATACCATCACTCTCATTTCAAATCAGCACCAAAATATCTCCTTAGTACCACAAAACCATACTCTACAAACATATCCCCCAAACATAAAACCCCAACGAATTCTCCACATTTTCCCATGGCCACAGCAGGTAAAACCACCAACCTGCTGCCAGGAGCTCCTGAATTTCGCTCACGTGGAGGTCGGCACTGTACTGCAATGGCACGACGCGATCAGCGGCGATCAGGGTACCGTGGATCCACGGTTGGAGATTGTTTGAAGCATCAAATTATCCATTTAGATCCATTTAGGAGGAAATGGATGGTGATGTTTATGTGTGCTAAATCATCTGTTTTCGGGGGGTTGTCCGCACATTTGGTCAAAATTTATCGATTAAATCATCCATTTTCATGCAGGATTTGATAATTAGGAGCCATAATCAATGGGCCTTTGATGGGCTGTGAGTGGCTCCGGAAAAAGAAAAAACACCAGAGCGAGTTCTTCAAGGCTGAAGTCTCATACTTTGAATCATGTAACCATCTCCAAACCTGCCAATCTGCGCCTGATGTAACCTCAACTTCACCACCGAGCGATTCCTGCCCACGTTCCAGGGTCGAAACAGCCACCAAAACAATCACACAACCTGACACATTTATAGGAATGTTCACGTGATTTTCAATGAATTATGTGCTCAACCCCATTCATATATATATATATCAAATGTATTATTAAATATTATAATCATAATATATATATATATATACACACCACTCCAACTAATATGTTCATAAATGGGTACCAGGTACCATAAATGATCCATACTAAATGGGTGGTATGTTTGCCATCCCCATGGTATCGGTTTATGGCAGCCAGGCGATAAACCCTGGCGCCTGGGCACCACGGCATAGACCTCCGCATGTTGCACGGAGTCCGCCGGAAAGGCCACTGCCATGGAAGTGAAATGATCTTCGTCCTGCCATGGGAACCGAAGATATGGGAATTTCATGGTGATTTAATGGTGATTTAATGGTGCTTAATGGTGATTTAGCGGTGATTAATGGTGATTAATGATGATTAATTAATGTATTGTAATGTACTGTAATGTACTGTAATGTACTGTATATGAGTGATTTTCCAGGAACATTGGGGATGGACCTTTACGACTAAAATATCATGACGAATTTCAGAAGAAATGAAATTGGAAGGACATCTTGAATTTATCCATGCGATATTGCGTGTATTCTCAGGAACAACAATGATAAGATGACAGCCAAGAGCCATTGGTTTCTGACACGGCCAAATTCATCTCCAAACTTGGTCCATTGTCAGAAGCCAAGGGCGATAAGAGCTGCTCTTGATGGGGGGGTACCAGGCATTACCAGGCTCAGTCCTTGAATTTCTGCAGCATGCTCTTGGGTGCCTCAAGTCATCTTGACATCTCATGTGCCCTCTCGATGGAAATCCCAAACCACAACTCCCATCTCTGGCCAACTACAGGCTAGCTGTTCTGTTTCAAGAGGCCCAAAGCCTACAACATATAACATCACAACGATAGAGTTAAGTCACCACCATTGTAGAATTGAATAAATTACCCAACACTCCCAACATCATTCAACTGCGATTCGCTATGTCCGCCTCATTCCCCCATTCTCCATGGCCATCACCGAGCTGCGCCAGGGCTGAGGCTGATCGCCACCAGATTCGCCTGCGAAGCTCTCAAGAGAAGATGATCTACGCACGCCAAGGCCTTCGCAGCAACCGTCTCTTGGAAGATGGCCACCTGCCACATCCACCGATGTGCCGGAAAGTGGTGGTTTTCACGAAAAAATCGAGAGAAACACAATGGGCAAATATGATAAATATGTGAGTGTTTGGTCTAACATAGGTGCACTGTGGAAAAACTGGTTCACTGTATTTTTCCTCTCACTTCAATCCATTGAGAATGGCAGGGCTGGGGTTAGTTTGGAGGGCTCAAAGGTTCCCGGCAAACTTGTTTGCACAAGAATTATGCATGAGAATTGACAACTATTGGCATACTGCTCTTAAGACAAAATATGGACAAAGCTCTCGTGGATAAAAGGTCGAGTTCAACTGGCTGGTCCTTCAACAACTGAAGCCCCGAGGCATGAATAAAAGTGCCGAACCTTGAAGCTCGGTGTTGTTCCATTTGAGAGGCTTCCCATCTTGCAACATCTTGCAACACCATATGGTATGATATGCTATGGGATGACAATAGACTGAAGAACAATGGGATAACATGGGATAACATGAACATCAAACAGATCTACCTTGATCTAACACCCCTTTTCGCCCATCTGGATCCATCTGGGGTCACCATGGGTCACCTTGACAGACTCTTTGGCAAGCAGACTGTACTCGTAGATGGTCAGGACACCACCATCCTTCGCCAGCGTCTCGTAGAAGAAGCTGCTCCGGTGATGACACATGTGAAAGGCAGTCAGTTCCTGGACCACTGGAGTCAGGGCATGTCAGGCTGGGAAATCATGGGAAATCCCCCACCGAAAAATAGAGGTGTTGATGGGAAAATCATCGAACCAAATGGGGGGATTGTCCATTGCATGTTTGATTACTGGAGGGTTCATGATTCTCCTCAGAATTGCAAAGGATGGATACTGTATATAGAACTCCCAGCTGTTGAGTTAAACAAGAGTTCGGCAGTATCAAGAACTTTGACATAGGATACATTTAAGATCATTTAAGCCTAGTTGCAGCATCGCGAACCTCCACTGCCGGAGTGAGCAACCCATCATGTAGCGTTGATACACCGGAATGCGTGGCAAAGAAGACTGTCTCGACCTCAGCATCGAAGCGAGCAATCTTTGGAGCAGCTCGAAATTGCCTCCTGTGCCACAAAAGAGTTCGTTTTCCAGCCCAAAAAACTTACAGGAAATCCATGGAAAACAGCAGGTAATCTCACCTTTCCGGGGATGAATTCCTGAGTGCACGACATTCACCAGGCCGATATGTTTCAAGTCCACATCACGAGGACGATAGAAGCTGCTGCTCCAAGTGGGCAAATATTCCCGATGGGTCTCCGCAAAAGCCTAGGGGCAGAACGCAAAGAGGTGGAACAGGTTCTAACTTGTCAATGGGAAATCCTCATGTTTGTTTATTCATTTTTTGATATTTGATATATTTTGATATATATTGTGCAGGAGAGTTTTGGAAATTCATCTATGAATATGAATGGTGTATGTTCAAGTGCCATGTTCAAGGAGGCTAGGAGATGCTTCGAGTATAGTCTGACTGGATGCTTGTGGAAGGATGCTCCACTATTCAATGGTTCTTCTGCGTTTGAAATCTTGGCCACAGGAAAATGCTCTCGCGCTCTCAAGATGCTTTCCACGGAACGGTTCGAAGGAGGAATGCATAGATGCAGCCTGCGTCCAGCACAGCGAATGCATGAAATAAACCCGAGAAATGTGACCAAAAACGAGTCTAATTATGCTGGGCAGATCTCCACTTCCGTTCTTATTGTGCAAGTTGTAGGATCCCCATCTTATTGCAAATTGCAACGTAGTGCAACGTATTGCAACGTATTGCAACGTATTGCAACCTGTTTTTATACGTTGGCCCCATTGACTCTAGGATTTCTTGCATCCCAAAACCTGGCAAAGCTGCAAAGCTGCCTCCAAGCCAATGTTTCATGGCTCCGTGATGGCACCAACGTGTTTTCCAATCGCCAAAGTCAGGTTGGAAAGGAAAGTGTCAACAAAATGGGGAATCCTGTGGCTGAAAGACCTGGCTATAGTTGGCCTTCAGCTTATCTGAGCCCGTATGAGTGCCTGAAACTGCTTGATTCACGGTGTTTGCCCAGCCTATTTTGGTGATCTGGAGAACCGTGGACCCAATACCGTCCCTTCGAAATTAAGTTGAACCATTGAAAAACTGAATCCACTCCTTTGGCCCCTGACGGCTCTACCCCACGTCCCCTTGGGCCAAGACCTGTCAGGGTTGATAGAAATTGGATCTGCTCGCGGTCAGGTGGCTGCAGAACAAGACCCAGAAAGGAAATGCTGCTTTCAACCTGTTTTGATCTATCTTCTTTCATGAGCTAACGACCCGACCATTGCATATCATGTATGCTCATATAAATTCATAATATTAATACTATATATATTGATTGTATGTATATATAGATATATTACAGCAGGAGGGTCTTCCTGGATTTTGTGGGAACCCATGGGAACCCATGGGAACCCATGGGAACCCATGGGAACCATGAGAACACGATGGGCTTCCACCCGAGCCAACTGCTTCCACTGGGGCTTCGTGACTTCTCTGAAAGCCTCGAAGCTGTGCGGCCCATTGGCTGCACCCTGGCACCTTGGTGCTCAGCTGTGAAGCTGAGTATATTGATCGATATGATAGAGTTGATATCTGTTGAATATATTAATGAGTAATGATGAGTATATCATATAAACATTAAATATATATATATATTATATATATATATATATATTATATATATATATACATTAGATGTGAGATGTAAAGCATAGATGTTAAACACTCTCATTCACTCCAGGTTCACGTCCGCATATCCTTTTTCCATTTCCTGTCGCTTCGTATGGTCTCACAACCTGCCTCCAGCAGGATTAATGCTTTGGGTAACTGTGTAGGTATCCTCCTACACAGCAGCACTGGTTAGATCCATACTCCCTGTTCCGCACTCCTGTCAACCCAGGAGGCTACACAGGGTGAATCTCTCCCAATGCACTTCATTCATTCCCAAAGCACTTAGAGAAACTCCACGACCTGGAGAAACGCAGGAAGTGGTAGAGACCAAACCTCGAAGGGGAAAACTGCGAAATGCGTGGTGAACCCATGGCTCTTGTGCCATGTAGCCTGGAGGCCCTCTCGACTGATCTCGTCGGACCAGTTGGCCTTGCTAGGGATCCACTCCCAGAAAAACCAGGCTTTGAGTGCAAAAAGAGTGACATGAATCAGGCGAGACATATGTTCTAAATCTGCATTGTCTGAACGACCTCGAATCAAAGCCATCAGCGCCGCTGTGTTGTCAATGAACCAGAGTCCTCTACGGCCACGAAACGTCGATGGACGAGTGAACAACGCATAGAGGACCTGAAGCAGCTCCAGTTGGGCAATCTTTGTGTCTCCTGGCTCCCAGAGTCAGAGGTGGTACACCACGGGGGGGATGATCGAGACAAATGCTTCCCGCTGCTGGATGCAGCCATCTGCCAGACTACCAAAAATCCTCCTGTCCCTTGGCCTGGAATTTCCAAGGCTGCATCTGAGGCTGCCAGAAAACGTGGCCCTGCATGTGGCCAAATCTCGATCGTCCTGGAGGGTTTGGTAGCAATGACAGTGCGCAACAAGTCGAAGCATCGACGCAGCTCCTCAGTCAACTCTGAGGTGCGTTCCTGTTGTCGGCGCTTGATTGGGGCTAAACCTCCGCAGCCAATGCGCCCCCATACTCCCAATTCGAAGAAGTTGGCGATGCCATAGATCTTGGCAGCAACTCCTGGTTGAAGCTTGCTGGAATCCTCAGCATGCTTCATGAGATGGAGGAGCTTCTGTTCGATGCGTTCACGTGCCCAAAACTGGATGGTACCTTCGGTGTGAATTTGACTGAAGTCATGATCAAGTCCCAAGAAAGTACCTGATTGTTGCATCCTCTGGCACTTCTCTGCTGAGAAGGGTGTGCCTAGAAGGGTGTTGAGAAACTGCATCGCTCGTTGACCTGATCCTTTGCAAGACTTCCTGTCCGTCACATGAGCATCATCAAAATACAAACTGGTCAAGCAGAATGTGAATCGACGTGACAAAGCTTCCACCAACCTGCTGTAGCGATTGAAGGACGTGACTGCCAAGGGGAGACCAAAAAGCAAACCAGTGTAAATCATAAAGGCTGGCTTCTGCCATTCGTGGTGGCAAAAGGCCACGATGCAACACAAAGCTTCGTCTTGGCTCATGGGGTAAAATCTGTAAGCGTCCGGCCAGTCTTCGCCACCAGACTCCCATTCTTCTGTGTCCCAGATGGGGAGTGCTCCATATGCGTAGGCATATTGTAGGTGTTGAGCTGGACGAAGGGCTGAGCAAAGGGTAAGTTTGTTGGCGTCACTGGAACGCTCAGACTGCAAGCCGACATAGGCATCGTCAATCACCCTTGCTTCCCCGAGGATTGTGTGATCACACATCGGGGAATCAATCGATAAGGCTCTGCACCAAGCAAACTGTGCAGTTCCTCTGCATCCATCGGCAAGCTGCAGAAGCCTTTCTCAGCATCCTTGAGGCTCTGCTGCAACATGGATTCATCATCAGTGCCAGGCCTCAGACGAGTCAGGATCCACCTGTTGTGGGTCCTCCAATCACGAAGGACATCTTCCCGTGTCAAGCGGGATGCCTCCTGCTCTGGGAATATGCCGTAGGGGGGTGCGTATCCCACTGCGGGCAGCCCCATGCAAAGGCCGGCCGGCAGCGTCACATCGCCCCAGTTGGCTAACAGCAACAGGATGGCTGTGAAGCCAATGTCTCTCTGTGCTGTGGCCGTCCGAATCGCCTCGGTCTGTTTGGTTCTCAAATGCTCTGTGATCTTGCTCCAGCGCCTTTTCATCTCGGCTAAAAGGCCCATCGCACGTTTTCTCAGCTTGCTCAGGTCAACTCCTGGCAGGCTTGAGAAGGAAGCCGCAAAGCGAAGGTCATCATCCAACAACGGAAGCCCCTCTGTAGGCAAAGGTTGCACGCTCAGTTGCAAGGCACGCTCAAAATGCTGGTCTGGCTGAAGATGGAACGGCAATAAGGGTGCCAGCGCTGCCCTGTGGTTGATGGCTCCCACTTGCTGACCCTCAGCCGTCCGCATCTTCTGTCGCACGGAAGGAACTGCTAGAACTGGGTTCCAGCTGCCTTCCATGTCGAGCCCTTGTTGGTGCCTCCATCGAATGTACAAGTCAAGCGGGTGCTGGTTCACCAAGTCCTCGACAAATGGGATGGCAAGACCTTCAAACCAGTCACCTGGGTAGAGCTTCTTGAACGCCAACGCCAACGATTCCTGGAGGATGTAGAAAGGCCCAAAATGGGTGCCTGTCGCTTTGGCTATGCTCGACAAGAGGACACTACGCGTGACTGCTGTGTGGCTCCTGCCATGCGATCCTTGGACGCAACTTGTGGAGCTACTCGATGGCTATTCAAACTGAGCCGATCAAACACAAGCCCCGCCAAGAGGTCGGCCTCGCAGGTTTGCGCTGCTGGGCAATCACACACCAAAACCTTGCCTTCCAGCTCGTCGAGCTCCTGCCATAACGTCTCCCTGACGTATTGGACAAAGAGTGGAATCCAATCTTGTGGTGTGCAATTCACCCCAACTTGCCAAGGAGATTTCCACTTTGTTGTCGGGAGGCGGTGAGCGTGGTTGCCCATACCCACGTAGACGTGCCCTAGGGGCAACTCGCCCTGTTGCAGCACCTCATTGACACAAGCTCGGGTTGGCACTCGAGCCGCCTCAGCCGTGTCCACCGGCCTCAGCCCCAGACTGATTGCCAAAGGAGTCATAGCCCATTCTCGGAGAGATCAAGCCAATGATCCCTGTGGCCGGTACAGCTAGGGGATGGTGAACGCGGCACATACAACTTGGCATGGCCAACCCGCACCGCCCACCATGATGCTGCGGTAGCGATCGCAAAGCAAAGTTCTGCTGTGTACTCTGACTCCTCAGCGGATGGGTAGTGCCGTTGACCATCCTGAATCCATGGTTCCCATTCTTGTGGGTCATGAAAGTGGTTGCAGTCAGCCCTGGGCCATCGTGCGATCTCTGCAATGTTGTGTCTAAGGCGTTGCAACTTCGCCCTAGCACCTCCAAAGCAACATGCTGAGTACCGCTGGTCTGACCACCGACCACTGTCCCACATGCTGACTTCATCCGGCGTCCACCAATGAAGACTGTTGTATGGGTTCTCCCGGACAGAGCCACCCCCCCGATCCACCAACTGGTCAATCTCGGAGAGTACAAAGCTGGCGGCTGCGTTGTCCTTCTCCACCCTGCTGTACTGGGACCCTGTCAACTCAGGAAGCCCCAGCGGGTGTTGTTCCGATCTCAACGGTCGGGGTGGTGGCCTACCATCCCCAAAATCTCGGGGGATCTCTCTGGCCCGGCTCTTTGTAGAACAATCCAGGGCAGCTGCAATGAAACAAACTGATTGTAGCTGATCGTGCAGTGATTGCTGCCTGAGGCTGTTGGATAAGTCATGACCCCGGTCAAGCATCCAATCCACTGAGATAGTTTCCCAACCACAGAAAATGAACGCTTTCGACAGAGGTACATTGGCCCCCGCACAAAGGTCTGCCATCCTCGGCAGCTGACAGTCAACTTTGTCTACGGGTGTTGCCTCTTCCTGCCCGGCAGAAGTCCCCGCCTCCTCTGCTGGGCACCGTCATGGCGATACCTTGGCCCTGCACTGGCCAGCACCATGCCCCGGCATACCGCAGACTCGCTCACCCCGGACAACCGCACCACACTTGTGCTGTCCTTGAGGACATGAGCCTTTGGGATTCTTGCACTGCCCATGTTGAAAAGCTTGGCAGATCTTCGTGCCATCCCTCATGGTCTTGGCTACCTTCTTCCCATTCACCGCCTTCCCTAACGTGAACTGAGAAGGCAACGGGGTCATGGATGAGGGGATTGGAGTAGTCTTGCTCGCTTCTGCCCTGGTTCCTCCAGTGACAGCATGCGGCATCCAATGGGCATCCCGTGCCAGGCAGGTTTCCTTGATGACCTCCCCCAAGGACTTGGAGGATTCCCTGAATCGTGCCACCCAGTCTGATCGGTCTTCCAGGTCGCGAGCTTCGAGCCATGCAAGCCGCTGGGAAAGAGGCAAGATGCTGGATTGTCGTTTCGCTCTGTGGTAGTAGTGCATGACCACGTCCATGGGCACTTCCACAAAGGCTGTCGAGTCGGCTCCAAGGGACTTCTCCAATGAGGCGTCCTTCACACTTGCTCTGGGGGTCACTCCCGCCATCGCATAGGCCAGCAGCAGAGTGAGCAGGCGATCCATGTAATTCTCCCAGTCATGCGGGGTCTTGTCATCTTCCTCGGCCTCCTCAGTGTACAATCCCTCAGCCAGCTTGCGCTTCTTCTGAGTGGTATGGAGCTGATACTGCAGCGTACGAACCTTCCAAAGATTGTACACACATAACATTCTCTTGGATAGCTCCCTGCTGACCCTCGAGAGAGTAGCATCTGCTGGGTGAACCTCAGGTGGGTATCGCATCCGATACCTGATCCAAAAGTTGGTCTTGACATCACGCAGCTCAGAGTCAGCGAGCATCGTATCCAAGTCACCAAGACTTACTTTGGACCGATCTTGGTCCTGGTTCTTGTAATACAAAGTGACAGCAGTCCAAGCCCTGCGCAACCTGGATCCTTGAATCAGACGTTCATCGCCGAGCTGCAACTTCGCCAAGAAGGTGTCAACTTTGGTCTCATCTTCAAAAAGGAAACGAAACTCCTCGAGGTTCTGGATCTTGGTCGCCAACAGGGCCTTGGTCACGACGGGATCCAACGAGAAATTCATCCCTAAAGACTCCATGGTTTCCTGAATGGTGGTACTCTCCACCGGAACCAGACGAGTACTAGTCATTTCACTCAAGGTAACTCCTTGTATGACTTGAACATTCAAAGCTGCTCACCCCGTACATGCCTCCCGCATGCTGCTCATCACCTGCCATCCAGGGACAGAAGGAGGCGACGTGGGGGGGCTGGACAAGAACTCCCCTGTTCCTCAGGGGTAAGACAGACCCCTCGGCTCATGTAACCACAGCTTGTACTCACAGGATCCTGTGTAAGCTCTCTCATGAGGACCGGCGAGACTAGTTAGCACATGTTAGCACAGTCTGTTTCGAAATTAAGCCCTATACTCATGTCCATGCCGCTTGAACTCACAGTTCCCTGTGTAAGCAACTTCCTAAAACATGCTAGGGCTTCAAACGGAGTCCATCAAGCCTCATCCTCCCAGATGTCGATGTAGACTCTTTTCCACACTCAAATCAAAGCTCATCTGACTGCATGATGCAAGTTGGCCTACGGGCAAGCTATGGACCTCAGTGATCAGCCTACCAAAATCGGCCCTGTGCGTCTCTTATTCAAATTGAATTCTGGTGCGTCCCCACTGACATGGTCATCGCTGCTGCACGCACCAAACAACTGTCACAAAACGCGCGGCCCCATGCCATGGCCTCCCTCATGTCCTGCGTAGTCATCGGCTTGACCAAGCGAATTGCACGCTCGGCAGATTGCTTATGTGAGCAGAGGGTCTGGCCATTGTTGAGCTCCAAGTGGACCTTCGACCGCTGAGTTGCAATATATAGCCACATGGCTCCGGGAATGGGTTCCTGAGAGAGCTTGTCCGGAGAGTCGTGTCAACCCACGACCTCATCCCAGCCTCCTGGATGATCCCCGGAATATCCAAGGAGCGCCTGCAGCTCTTGACGTAGGCCACGGCAACGTCCCAGCTCTCCTGCGCAAGTAGGGCTCTGAAGACGCATCCTCCAACACCTGCTCTGTGACGTCCTGACAGGCAATGGATCAGCGCAGATTCTCCTGCGTACATCGTATTGCGCAGCAGGGGCCAGACTTCCTCGAAGTCCCTGTTCCTGGAGTTGCCATGCGCCACACAAAGGTGCTTCAAGAGGGCATCGGTCAGCACTACCCCTCCTCGGGATGATGGGGTCTCAGCCATGCATGCAATCTGAAGGGTAACTCCCTTCGGAAAGCGATGCGCGGTGTTCTTGGTCGGGATCCCGCTCAGCCACAGCTTGCCCCCTGCTCTGTTCTGGTAGATCAGGCTTGGGCTCTCTGCGGTCTTGCCATGGATAGTGGCCAACCTGTCAAACTTCCTGTCAGGCCCCCGGGTATCCAGTGCCTCTGGAATCGGGAGGTCTTCTTCCTGCACTTCAATCTCTTCATCCTCGGAACTCGAAACCAGGGCTGGAAGAGGAGCTGCAGGTGGGGCTGGAGCTGCCTTCGCTTTCTTTTCAGGCGGTGCTTTGGGCGGTGGGCCCTGTGGCGATCGGGCGCCTCACTGACGCCTTGGGGGGGACAGCTGGTTCAGGAGGTCGCTCCTCCTTGGACTTGCTGGTAGGCTTAGCCTTCGCAGAGCCAGAACCAGTCCCTTCGCCCAGCATCTCTTCCACTTTGATGAACTTCTTATCATGGCATTCACATGCTGGATGTCCTCCTCCACAAACGCGTCCAGCTTTGCGCATCACTGCACATGCATGCCTGCCTGGGCATGATTCCTTTTCCAACGGGCAGGTCTTCGTTTGAAAGGCCCCACAAATAGGTGCCCCATTCTTCATGAAGGCACTCAGCACCTTCCCATTGAGGGAGGCTGGCATCGCAGTCAGCCCACCCTTGGCTTGGGCTTCCTCCCTCTTGGCAGCTGCTTTGAGCTTGAGGGCTTCTGACAACTGAAAACGAGCCTGTAACTCAGCCTTGGTCAAAGGGGCTGCCCAGATGACGCGGGACTCCTGCTTCAGAACCTTGTCGACCTGCTGGCGCGCATAGTCAAGGGCCTCAGCAAAGATCTGTTCTGGAATCGTCTCCCAAGACTCGTAGGCCAACAACTTCTCCATGGCCAACCTGATGATATGCTTGGTCCGAAGCGAATGTTCATACCTTGCTGCACTGTAGTGCATAGGCATCGTCGCTTCTTTGGGGATCTGGCTCCGATCGGCCCAGTCACCCAGCGAACACAACTCCAGGGGCGTCAGCTTCATCAGTGTTCCCACTGTTGGGCCAGCTCGCCTCCAAGAGTAAGATGACAGGTCTTCTGTGTTCTGGACCAAGTGCTCAAAGACCTCGCGGTTCAAGTCGTTGACATACTTCAAGGTAAATGCGGTGCCCTCCGCATCGAAACAGAGACCTGAGGTGGCCTGCTTGGTCTTGTCCAGCTTGCTATAGTCCCGAAACAGGGCGGCTCCCCAAGCCCATCCATTCACGAATGTTGCGGGGATGCAGAAGGAGAATCCACCCCGATTGGCCCGCTGCTTGCCCTTCGGGCAAAACACATGGAACGAAGATGGTGTCACCTTCACTGGCCTGGCCCTCATGATGTGCTTGTAACGCAAGACACCAAAGGTTACCAGCCATGATGAAAGTAATCCTCTCCAACGCGGGTCCTCTGCCTCATACATAGCTTGTATGCGTTTGGACCTAACCTACAACCCCCCACTCAACAGCAAGAACGCACTTTTGCGCGCGTAGGCACTGAAAAGGTCTTTGCCCTCCGGGCTCAAGGGGGAGGGGGGTGGGCTACCTTGAGCCCAAGCTACACCGGGTTGTTACAGATCAGTCAAAACCTAGAGCACGCTACACTAAGCTCCAACAGTTTGGACCTAACCTACAACCCCCCACTCAACAGCAAGAACGCACTTTTGCGCGCGTAGGCACTGAAAAGGTCTTTGCCCTCCGGGCTCGCACCCCTCCCTTGCCACTGTATAGCTGGAGTGGTTGCCTTTCTACCGGGCGTGAAACACGCCTCGGTTGGCAGATGTATCAAAACTGGAGTGGTTGCCTTTCTACCGGGCGTGAAACACGCCTCGGTTGGCAGATGTATCAAAACTGCGTGGACGGGCATAGCTACGTAGGCGTAAGGCTTGTCTTGATCATGGACTCCGACATACCGCGCGAGTATTCGCGGTCCTCCCACAAATAAGTGTGGAAGGCGTCGGAAGCCCAACGCCCGTAGCGCCTGACCACTGAGGCGTCTTTATAGGCGGCCCAGAGAGCCGAAGCGCCCCCAAAACGAAGAGAGTGCGAGCCTAGATGGCCCGCCACACCACAGGCTTCGGCCGCACGGCGCAGGAGCATCTGCACGGCCTCGCGTGGGATATCCCAGCCTTCCGGTGTTCGGAATAGTGGCTCATCTGCCTCCACGCCGCCCAAGTATCGATTCGGGTATTTCTGGAACTGTCTGACTGCCAAGACAGGGCAGACGGCCTCACCGGTCTTGTAGTGGTTGCGGTGAGTCTCCAGATTATAGTTGGTTTTGCTACCGTTCAGCTGGAGCCGGATCTCATCGGCTTCCCCCAGGTTGCGGAGGTCGCATTGCTCCCCTTTGCTGAAAAGGAGTACTTGTCTTCCCTTTAATTGACGGGAAAATGGGATGTACCCCAAGGGTAAAAATTCTGAGGCCCTGAGCAAAAAGAAGAACCCCAGGCACAAGGCAGCCCAGAGGATAGGACCCTCCGGGCCCGAAACAGGGCCTCGGAGATGTTCCTCCAGCCAACGCAACATACGGGGGGTCACGGGAGCGCGCCGAACCGGCGTCTTGTACCGCCTTCTCAGGCCTGCCAGGGCCATCGCTACCCGGTTTCTTCCTTCTAAGGGATCTGGCAGCCCCAGCGTCACATGGATGCTTCGGACGGCAGCGAGACGCAGTTTCAAAGTTCCCGGGGCACGCTGTTCGTTGACGGCACAGTGAAGCAAATAGTCAATGATGAGATCTTCGTCCGCCGGCACCCCAGTCAGGAGCCAGTGCACCTGGCGCCGAGCACAAAACAGGCGCCACCATTTCAACTGCGCGGCATACGTCCGACGAGTCGTCAGGGCTAGCCTGTCCAAAGCAACATTGACAGCTTCCTGTTGATAGTCTTGCCGATTCTTCAGGGGTAAGCCAAGCTGTGGGGTCTTGTGCCCAAGGAGATCTCTGACTGCCTTCGGGCTGCGGCAGGGTCTGTTCTTCACCCCCTGCTGAATGGTCGGCGCCTCCTTCGGGTGGATGTCTTCTTCCAAGCTTTCCAAATAAGGCGAGAAGCGTACCCGCCTGGTAGTGGAGCCTCCCACGCGTCTCTCGTCTTTTTGCTCCCGTGAAATCTCTTCGCTCCCGGCCCGCAAACAAGCATGCAGGACTCCGAAGAGGTATAACAAGGCCAGGATGAGGAGCCCAAATTCTCCACAGAAGAGGTGGGCGATGGCATGGTTGGTGTCCCGATTGGCGTCGTCGACTCGCCGCTGTCGAACACCTTGTCGGGGATTTCGCCGGGCCACCGTTGTGCTAGCCTCACCCGGGGGACACAGACACCGTTCGTAGCGGATCTGTCTGCGGCCCCGGATGTGACCGCACCCTTCCTGATGCCACCTCTCGCCGCTCAGAGTCACGTGGGCGGCTCCGGAAGGCTGCACATACCCCGGTTGGCCGGCACAATCTTTGCACGGCTCCACCCATCGACTGGGTCCTGGCCTAAGACACTCGGAACGATGCCACCGCGGGATTCCTTCCGGATCAACGGTCCCGGCTTCTAGCCGGATGCGACGCCCGTAGGTTGGCTCCGCCGCAGGGGGCGGGGCGGGGGTCACCGGGCTCGAAACCAAGCCTCGGCTGGCGTCGGGCAGAATTTCGGTATGAGTGCGCTCAGACGATATTTGACCCGACGTTGGGCCTTGGAGCGGATTCGGCATCTTGTTGTTCTTTCCCGGGCCCGAAACAGGGCCTCGGGAATTTGCTTGCCCCATGGAAGGGCGGGCGTGTACCCATCGCCGGATAGCAAGGCAGGCTCCCACGGCAAGGAACAAGGAAGCTGCTACCAAGATTCCAAACAGTTCGATTGGTAGACTCGGCCTGACACCTTGCCCTGCAAGCCACAGCGTAGTCTGCCTCACCACCACTTCTCCACCTAATGGGTAGGCGTGCGCGATGGCGTGGTTGGTGTCTCTACTAGCGTCGTCATTTCGACGAGTTTGGCGCCTCAGTCTCTTCGCTTCCTTTCGTCTTTGCGAGTCTGGGGCTCTTCGAAATTTCCTTGGTTGGCCATCGGCCTGCAGCAGTGAGGCTCGGAAGTCTTGAATTTCCTTTCGCGCGGCTTCCTTTCGTGCGGCTGCTGCTGCCTCAGGGGACTCGAGAGGTTCAGCGGAGGGATTAGCTTCGCCTCCCTGAGTTCTCTCACGGTGCATACGTGCCCTCTGTCTGCCTTTCTCCCGGCGCCTAGCCACCCAAACGCTGATGCCTGCTTCAATCTCGAGGTCGAGCCGGGCAGACTTGAGGACTTTGACGGCTTTAGAAGGCCGCACCGGATTTCTCCTTTCCACTTCTCGCATGTAACTTCCCTGAGCGTCCAAGGCTTCGAGATAACTTTTGTCTTCATCCTCTGCATCTTTGATGCGTTGGATCTCGGTTTCCAAACTTTGCTGTATCCCTTCGGCAGCTTCTTTTCGCTGCGCAGTAAGCCTTGACAGGTCGTCTATCAAATCTTGTTTGGTCGACCCATCCTCTTCCGCTTTGGCGAGGGATTCTTGGAGGTTCTGCCAGTTCGCTTCGTCAGCCCGAGCGATTTCCTGCAGCAACCTGAGCTTCCCGGATCCCAACTTCAACCCTCCCTTGGGGATCAGGGCCCGGTCCCTAGCAGGAGCGGGGTCATCCCTGGCTCGGGAAGGTCCTGCGCCCTCTCCGCCATCTGCTTCCTCCTTACAGCGATCTGTCTCTCACTTCGGCCCGCTCGGCCTGTCGGACATCTTGGATGGAATGCAGGCATCGGAACTCTTCGGGCTCACCGGCGCTTCTGCACGGGCATCGGGTTCCCCTTTAACACTCCCAGCAGCGGGCGTGGGCTGCGGGTCAGCAGCCGGGGCTTCCCCAGGACCGGCCGCCTGAGCTGGATTAGGGGCAGATGGGCGAAGTTCTTCTTCGGCTTTGACGCCCGGGGCAGCCTCCTGCAGGGCCTCACCGGGCTCGAATCGAGCCTCGGCTTTGGCAACAGGCAACTCTTCGAACTTGGTCGCGGGAGCAGCGGGGCCAGCTTCCTGTAAGGTCTCCCCGGGCTCGGACCGAGCCTCGGTTTTGACCTCGAGGGATTCCTCCAGCTTTGTCATTGGCACGAGCGCCTCCTGGATTTCCGGGCCGGAGGCGCCCCAGTCAGGCTCCGAGATAACAACGACGTCCGCCTTCAGAGTATCCGGATCAACGTTGACCTCCTCTTCGCCTTCTTGGCAGGCCAAGCCAGCTACCGCCGCCGCCAGGTCGGACGCAGTTCGGGCGAGCTCTTCCCTGGGGTCTGTCTCCTGAGCTTTGGACGGGGGCCAGGCTATCGAGCGGTAGGCAGCGAGGTTGAGCTTTGCAGAATTGCGTGGCTCTTCCTCCACCCACTCGTCCCGACGCCGACCTCTCTTGCCTTGATTGCTGGAGCTGGGCTCCCCCCGGTGCTGCGGCACGGGCCCCACCTGACTGCTGGCGGACCCCCCTTTCAGGCTCTTTTTGGGTCCCTCATGCAGCGTACCAAAACTCGGCTGTGTCCCAGTCCGAGACATCGCCCAAGGCTGCCGGCGGGATTGTTCCGCTGGCAAGCCACACAGAATTCCCCGTGACGTAAAAGACGACCCCGGACTCCATCGCAGCCTTAGTAGAGACGGGAATCTTCACCTCCAAGTCCGACCTCCACTTGCCCGACGCCTGATCTGGATTGACCAGATGAGCCATCCGTCTGTCGCCCCGGAGCCCATTTTCCTGGATCGACTTCACATGGCGACGGTACGTTCCATGCACCAGTGTCGGGGGGACGTCTTCGGGAGCTACCCTTGCCCCCGGCCCATAGACACCGTCGATGGTGTGGCCCGACCATGCCGCCACGTATGGGCGGCCGTCGCTTTCTCTGACAACAAACCGCTGCTTAAAGTTCTCCTCCACGGCGTCCCGGATGACCTGCTCCGTGAAATACTTCTCCTGCCAGTTCAGGCGCTTACGGAGGTATTCCAGGAGGTCGGGCAGTTCCACCCAGCCGTCTTCTGTTATACATTCTGCTTCGTGCCTGAGGCATCGAGACATGGCTTTTGACAGCTCCTCCTGCCATTCCATCTTTTTGCCACTCTTCCTCTGCTTTTTGTGCTTCCCTCCAACCTTGGAATCTCCCCAACCACGTTCTTGGAGCCAAGACATGAGCGCCTCCCGCGCTGCGGATTCCCAAGGCAATTCGCAAATCCCGACCTTTCTGTCGGTTGGGAGTTGACCGGGCTCGGAGCGAGCCTCGGCCCCCGCAGCCGGTCCGGGTTCGTCTTGAACCTCGGATTGGGTCGAGTTTGCCAAGCTCGGTTCGGTCAGCACTTGATTGGTTGCGGCGGGGTCGCGCGGCCCGGTCGTGCCCAGCGAACTAGCCCACTTCCCAGCCGTTAGAGCCAAACTACGAGGGGTAGCCAAAATGGACAGCAGGGGTAAACTTTCAGCCAACACATTGGGGGGTAACAACTCAACCCTCCCACCCAACAATTTAAAAATTTCCCCGGGCGTGATATACCTCGCCGCAGGTCCCTCGGGTCCCTTCCCTAGCAACAAAAGCGAATCCTTACTTTGGGGATTGCCGGAGTTGTGGTGGAGTTGGGGGAGTGGTTTATAGGGGTCCCAAACGTGCCTACGAACACTACCCTCCACATACACCGAGCCCCTGGGCTTAGGGGTTGCCTGTCCTAGATACGGGATAGAGGTATCAAGTTTTAGTCTTCCCCTGACCCAGAGGTCACCCGGGACTTTTTGATCCTCCAGAAGCCACTCCGTGGGGTATGTGTGCAGCGGGGCAGTGTCGGGCTCGTCATCCGCGGTCAAACACGGAAGGTCTGGCATCTGCGCGCCCCTAGGGACGGCAAGGAGAATCCATCGCTTCCACCAACACTGATCTTGGAGTGTCCGGCCGCTGACGAGTACCACCCGGGTTTGCCATCCATTCTCTTGTAACCTAGCCTGAGCGCTTTTCAGGCCAAGAGAGGAGATGGAGTCGGCCCATATCCCCTTGGGCTGGAGACCTTGGGCTTGTTGGGCAAGGCTGGACGCGGTGGCAACCTCGTCCCTTCCGACACAATAGAAAACGCAGACCGCCTCTTCGTCAGCCAATAGGCCGGGCTCCTGCATTTTCAAACCTCTGGACAGCAACTCCAAGTGGTACACGCGGGGCTCCGGGCCAAGCTCACAGCAGACAATGCCTGGCCGCAATGGGAATCGAAGCCCCTGCGGGCCTTCCGGATGTCGTCTCAACCCCAACTGCAGGGCGGAGGCTTGGTCCTCATGGTCCATTCCATCCCATAGCAGGGCCCGACGGGTCCACCCCCTGTCCAGCGTGGCAAGGAGGACTTCGGAGAAATCCTTTCGTTCCAGGTTCCAAGCTGATAGAACCGGCCCTTCTTCTTCCCGCGTGAGAGCGTCCGCGACTTGATTGTGATAGGTCCGGATATATTCGGCGTGCAAGCGGAAGCCTCCAACTGTCTCAAGTGCCGCCAGAAGTTGTAGAAGGAACCGAGCTGCTGGTGGTCCTGCGTGTCTTTTGGCTAGCCATGAGATAACATTACTGTTGTCTCCGGCGTAGATGACAATTTTTCCCTTCCAGGACTTCCATCTCAGACACGCCAACGACACGACGGCCAAAAGCTCAGCAAGCGAAATCATCAACCCGTCTCCGGGCTCAGAACGAGCCTCGGTGACGGTCGACGTCTCCTCCTCCGCAGCTGCAAGCTCCGGGTCGTGCTCGGCGCAAAACCGCCGGAGGCGTTCCCACACGGATTCCGCCGGCTCCACTACCGCCACGTTGGCTTCCCAATCCACGGCCGCCAACTTGTGGGGGGTTGCATCTCCTGACGCCCAGACAACTTTTTGACTCATTCCTGGGAAGGAAAGGAGCTCCCGGACAGTGAGGGCTGAAGTCAGAGGGTGGGTAAATCGGACTTCCCATTGTGAAGTGGCATCCACGAGCAGTCTTTGGAGCTCGATTGATTCCCAAAAACGTGCCCAAATGGCCTTCTGCTGTGCCACTGTGCCTCTAGGTTTCGCGAACCCCCTTTCGTCAGCCGGGCCCAGGAGGTCATTCGTCGCCCCTAAGTAGGGACTGAGCCCTGGAAGCACCGCCAGCCAAAACTGCTGGTTTCCCCTCAGCTCCTGGACAAGACGAAGAGGCACATGGGTACACCCACTATCGAAATCAGGGAGGTGCAAAAGATGGTACGCCTTCTCCAGCTTTGCCGCAGGGAGGCTGCGAGTGTAGGACTGGGTGTCATACACCAGCCCCCATATCAATTTCCGACATTCAAGCCTACCTTCGAGAGCGTCCTTCGCAGCATTGATACTGCCCTCCCCAAGGGTGGCCTTTGTGACATATTCGGATAGGGCGACAGAGAGCTGCGGCCTGAAGCCCAACTCCGGCTCGATCAGAACGGTGTCGTCCATGAGAACGAAGGAATGGAAGGGAACGTCATCTTCCCACCGGTGATTGTCCGGAGCGAACGACCCGTGCGCTGACTTGATAACCCAGGCGAAGTGCATGTACTCACCCGGAGCACCACACCAGCCAAACGTCAAAAAACTATAAATCAACGTGGTCCCCTCCGAAGTCTGAGTGAATTCAGCAGGGACATCAGCTGCGAAGAGCTTGGCGTCTTCCAATTTGAGGGGGATCCATTTGAAGGCCTCCGCCACGTCCTTTTTGCTGAGCAGGATCCTTTTTGCTGAGCAGGATCCTGATTCGGGGAAACCGAAGCCTCCACCAAAGGATCGCGCGAGCCACTTCCTGGTGACGTGGTTGCAACGCAGGTGGGTGGCGTGTTTTGTGGCAGTACTTGTTTATCGGGGTGGCGTCCCATATAATGCGGCCCTTTTCGGAGATACTCCGGTCTGGGTTCATCTTTGGTACACGGGCCATAGGGACGGAAATCACCCCTTCCAGTCCTTCTCCTTTGTCGTAACAAAGAAGGCACCGCCCCTTGGCGGCGTCCTCCCAAAGCTGCTTGGCGGCTTCTTCGATGTGCTCCTTCAGGCTAGGATGGGGGGCGCTTTGCACCCTTTGGGTCTCTTCCAAATCTGCTTCTGCGGAGACTCCCCAAACGGCCACGTGCCTGGCCCTCTCCAAGATAGCTGGGTGAACCAATCCTTCGAAAAAGTCGCTGTGAAGTGCGAGGTGATCCCCGTGTGTCCGGACCCAATGCCGTCGAATGGCCCTCAGCGCCTCCTTCCATCCTCCTGCGACCTCCAGGAGTCTGCTCCCCTGTTGGGCCGCCTCGGCAAAGTTTTCCTTCGTAAAATCCTTGCCTTGGAAAAAATCAAGGTAGGCGCCCGCCGCTTCCTCCGTTTGCTTTGGAGGAGGGTCCTGCAGTGGCCCTCGAAGCCCATAGACATCGCTTTTGCTGAGCGAGGAGAGCAGCGAAGCCCCCGCCCCCCCCCCGCCCCAGGTGCGCCCCGGAGGCGTCCCCAAAGGGGAGGCGAAGGGCAGCGTGACCGGCTCGCCGCAAGCCGGCCCCGGGCGCGAAACGCGCCTCGGGGAGCAGGGCCTTGGCGACGGACGTGGAGAGATCGGTCCCAGAGGGGAGGGTTGTGAGAGGGAGTAAAGACGGCAGAGTCGTTTTAAGGCAAAAAGGAAGGCCAGGGGTCGGGCCGAGCAGGAGCCGCGCCCGTGGGACAGAAGCCAAAAGAGCGACAGCTGCCGGTTCCCGCCACGCGGTGCTGGTAAGATGGTGGAGCACGCTGAAGGTGCCCCCGGACAGGGATTGAAGGCGGCCTAGGTCCAAGAGGAAGTCCAGGTGGCGGCGGCCACATCCAGAGCCGGGGGAAGCATCCTTGCCGCGAGACGATTCAAAACGAGCCTCCAAAGGGGTGGAGGGGCAGGGTAAGCCAAAGGTGTCGTGGGCGAAGGAGAGTGATAACGGCTCGAAGCTTAGAGCGGGTCGCTCCACACCGGAGGGCTAGGTCGTCTTCAAGCGGGAAACGAAGAGCGAGGCCTCCGGCCTGCGTAACCCCGGTAGATACCGAGAAAGGGGGCGGTGCCAGATCAAAGAGATCAGGGGGAGTCCCATCAGGAAGATCGGCGCCAAGCCAGGAAGCCAAGTCCTGCCTAGACCATTGCGACGGGGAGGGCTCGGTGTCTTCCCAAGCAGGTGCCCCCGTGCGAGTGCCTACGGGTGGCGGGGACGGAAAGGGATATAAGCCAAAAACGCCGGCAGCACGACCGGTGCGACGGTGTGGATCCGAATAGCACCGAGGGCAGGGTTTGGCGGCACGGGCGCGAAGGCGCGCCCCGTGCGTCAGAGCCGCTTCTAGGTGAAGTTCCCAACCGGCAGCCGAGACTACGCGGGCTCCGGTAGGCAAAGCCCGGTCCATGGGCGGAACGAGCAGGCGCATGTGACCTTGGTGGACCAGAAGCCAAACGAGGCTCCGAGGTGTGGCGCAGGAACTAACCCCTTGAATGACCTCACAAGTGACCCGGCGCCAGTCGTCCATGCGGACGAGACAAAAGGTGCGCTCATCGGCGGCCGACAGGGGAAGAGCAGCCAAACATCGATAATCCTTATCATGGCCGTAATAGAGAGCGTCATGCGCGAAAGTGCGCAGGTCGTCCTCCGCTTGGGTGCACTGATCAGGCTCGGGCCCTAGGGCTTGAAGGCATTCTTCCGCGGAGTGGTACATTTCGCGCTGAAGGGCCAGAGCCTGCACACACGTCTCCTCGTAAGTAGGCGGGGTTCCGGACTTTCTAGTGAGCAGGCCAGCCGCCACGTGGAGGAAAAAACATTGCCTGGGTTCCTGCGATGGGTGTGGCTCGTCACACGGCAGCAGCCCTGAATGGGCTGGGCTCAACTGGTCACCATAATCATAGACGTGATAAGTGGTATCGAGCCAGGTGAAGGTCCCGGTAGCGGCCCCCAAATTGCTGTCTGCAGACAGGACACTGAGCTCCCCGCAGTGCGAGACAGACCCTACCCGCAAGTCCGGATAGGTTTGTAAGAACTCGGTGGCTTCTGCGGCCAGTTCTGCGCTTCCTTCCTGAACCGCTTCTTCCAGATACCTTTGGATATCAGCAGCCTGAGGCTGGGCAGCGGCGTCAGTGAGCACCCGATTCCGAAGATGCACGCCCAGATGCAGGGGCATTTCGGGGAGCTGCAAGGTGTCGTCAATGACCTGCATATGTCTCAGCCTCTCCCCCGCCTCCGGCTGATCGTGCGGGACGACCAGTTGGGCCGTGCGTGCGGCAGGGCTTGCATGATCGGCAGTCCAACTGGTTTCTGCCTGCCCTCCCATCAGTGAGGCAAGTGGCGCCTCCATGTCGGTGGGTGCGAAGTTGTTCAGCCCTCCGGGGGCAGAGACCCAACCAGCCCTCGTATCGTTACGATATTGTGTGTGGCTTTCAGGGGGGTCTTCTGGTGGTCCGGCTGCCCTCTTAGAGGTTTCTCGCTCTTTGGCCCTTTTTCCTTCCTGTACGTTCGTAGCCAGCTTCGCTGCCTGCTCCTTGCGAATAGTTTCAACTGCAGCGTCGACCTGACCTGCTTTCAGCTTCGCCCGGGCGGGATGCCCGCCTCGGCGCAATAGCTGCATCTGAATGCTCCAATCGAGGGTGTCCCACTTCGGGGCTCCCCCGACATGTGAATGGGGGCGGTCTTTGCCTTTTGCGCATTTGCGGTGGGAAAAATGGTCCCAACAAAGGTATTTGCCTGTTCGATCCTTGGGTCGATGGTCCATGGATCGGCTGACTTCTTTGGGCGTCAGCGGAGACCCGAGCAGCTGACCAACTTCCTTTGGGGCATTGGGTTTTGGAGTGTGTTGGTTTCCGGCTTTAGCGCCATCTCCCAAATTTCCCGCTGCGTTATCCGCGTTTTCACCTGCCCTTCCCCCTGCTAGGGACGGGCGTTTGAATGCCATGTTCCAGCAGGCTCGATCAAGAAGCCGCCTTTGACGGGGGACAATGTCGGTTTGGAAGTACTCTCCCAAGGCCTGCAAGTCAAAGGTCTGTGGCAACCTGAGCCAAGGCGTCCCGTCGGCCCCAGGTGAAGTGGCAAAGAAGCGCAGTCTGTCGAAACTGGGACTCTCATCTTGCATTTCCCGTCGCGCGCTGCGGTCGATGGCCCTGAGCTCTTCCACGAAGCGGCCCCAGAGTTCCTCCCAAGTGCTGAGGACGGCTTGTAAGGGCCAAGCGTGGGTGTATTCTTCACCAAGCTTAAGGAGCTGCGCAGCAGCGCTCTCCCAGCTTGCGTAAAATTCAGCCCCGAAAGCGCACGCGAGGGCCCAGGCCTGTCGCAAAGCATTCCTGTACCAACCGGTGAGTGTGGTAGGGTTTCTTCCCCTTTTTTCTAGTTTGTTATCCCCCGGAGGAGGGAAAAGGTCAAACTCTTCTTCTGATGTTTGAGGAAAATCTGCCACGCTGAGACAGTAGTCCGGAACGGACCCCTTGCCCCCGATGTTGAGGGACGAAATTCCAAAGGCAATCCGGTTGCTGATGTTGACCGGATACCCAATCTCGCGGAGAAGAGGTCTGTTCTGCGAAGCCATAGACCTTAGGGCTAGGTCTTTGCCTACCGTCGCCTCCCCGATGTGCACGGTAAGGGTGTCACACCCCCGGGCCAAGAAGACCAAGCGCTCTTCAGTTTTGCCAATAGAAGAAAGCTTGCCCCGTTCTTGACCAGAGGGTTCGTCCTTGGAGGATATGGCTTTAGCAATAGTCTGCAGGGCCTTAGATGCCTCATCAAGGGCGGGCGGTCCCGGGTCAGTATAAGCCCCGGCATGATAGGGCCTGAAGGCTCCCAAGCCTTGGCCTGACAGAGGGGGCAACGCATGGGCCGTTCCGGGAAAGAGGTCAACCGCTCCCGGGCTCGGTACGAGCCTCGAGGCGAGGCCACCATGTCCCGGGCCGGATACCGGCCCCGGGAAGCTTGTGGTCCCTGGCTCCTTTGGTCGGAAGAGGGCTTGTGCCATAGTCACCTGGGGCTCCGGCATGTCGCCCACAGTGCGTCGCGGCTCTGATCCTGAGTATTGGTTCGTAGATCTTCTACGGTCTCTCTGGCTTCTAGGAGCGTAACGACGGGGTCACTGTCTTGGCTGTGTTGCCCAAGGGGGGTGGGTGCCACAAAGTGTTTAAGGGCTCTCAACGCTTTGGAGGGCTCCCCCCCTTTTCTTCTTGTCGAGCAATATATTCTTTCGCCATTCGGCTAAGATCTGCACGGAATTCGGGCTCATGCCATTTTTCACGAGAGCTTGCCAAACAACGGAAGGCTGACTCCGAGTCCTTCCCTTGGAGAAGTTCCACCATCAGCTCGGCTAGGTCAGCTGGTTCTGCCCTCGAGCTTGGTGCTGCTTGGCTGTCTACTGCCAAAGGCGAAGCGGCCTTGAGTGTGCTAGGAACCGCTTCTGATCCATTCCCTGCCCTGGGCTGTCTCCTAGTGGTAGCTTGTGGGGTAGTCTTGCTTCCAAGTGGTTTTTCTTCCTTGGCGTTGTGTAACCTGCACAGGAGGACGCCTTCCTTTCTCTTGGTGGCTGAATTAAGGCAGCCTTGCACCGCGCACGCCCTGTTGACTAACGAGCCCTGGTACATCGATCGGTGATATTCACAGGCGTGGAATCCTGAGGTGCCGTCTGCAAGACTAGGCAGCCCATCAAGGCAGCTGCTCGCCCTATCTGCACTGAGGAGGCAAACCGGTTGACCCCTCGCAATGTCTCGACACGGTTCCATGGCCAGCGAGGTCACTTTGCCACTGGAATCAATAGCGATTTGATCCGCCTGGCAAGGTTGGTCCGTGGGTCCGACTTCCGCTTCAGACTCGGTTTCGGAGTCGTCATGCCGGTCGCTCGGGCCATGTTCCGGCCCTTCGCCCGGGCGGGAAACCCGCCTCGGGCGCCTCCTGCAGGAAACACACCAACACCAGATTTTGGCACACCGGGATATGCTCTTGCGGCAACATCCGCACCACAAGGCCCCGCAAAAGCTGGTAAGGACCGCGCACCTACCCCAAGGCCCCCTTCCAGCAAGGTCTTGCAGATCGATCTCCCGGTCCTGGGGTATGACCGAACTGGCCTTGATGTGCACTTGCGACGCTTCAGGTGCTGTGCATGGGTCTTGCGAACACAAATGGATGGTGCAATTAGCAGTTTCCAGATGGTGCCTAAAGTACCGGTGAGAGGAGGCACGTACCTCATTGCAAGCGCAGACAAACCCATGCCTGTTCGTGCGGCCTCTGATTGTGTCGTGTCGGAGGCGAGCTACTGCTACCCCGTCCGCAACCAAGAGATCTAGAGGTCGTTGGTTCAACCCCCTCCCTCGCACCTCCCTCTGGACATACTGTGCTGTCCAGGGGTTGCTGGTACCAGGCCCTCTCCACGTTGGGATGTAAGGCCTTTGGCCTTGTAGGCGAGTGACGTCACTCCAGGTCCCAGTGCCCTGGCAATATCGCCAGAGGGCCCTTGAGTGGACCCAGGCTGGATGGACAACCCAAGTGTATGTCCAAACCAGCAGCTGTAACAGGAACACGATCACAACCCCTGTAAGCAACCAGTAACTCCATTTGGCAGCTAAACCGATCGATGCGCAGAGTGTCCCGCAGTAGTGTAACCCATTCTCTGCTACTTGCAGGATCAAGTCTACCCAGATGCGCACCCACCAATATCTGCCAATGGATTCAAAGGTCGCTCTCCAGGATCGGTGCCGTGTCTCCTGGGAGGTTTCAGGGCCAGTTTGCGCCGGGCGGGATCTCCCGCCCCGGTCGGCCCTGAACCAGCGAAAGCTGCTTGGTTCGTTTACTGTTTCCTGAGCCGTTTGGGGAGTGGCATTTGACTGCAGTCCCCACTGCAGCAAGTCCCAACCATTTGCCGTGGCGGAAGCCAGGAGGTACAAGACCCCTAGCGCTGCCTTGACCATGGCCCCCCCTACCTTGAGCCCAAGCTACACCGGGTTGTTACAGATCAGTCAAAACCTAGAGCACGCTACACTAAGCTCCAACATTTAGTTGTTCGAACGACAATCACGCGTTGTATCCTTGTTGACAAACTTGCATGCTGGGGAAAAATTCGTTGCCAGTGGCGAAAATAAAGCGAAGGGCAATGCAAAACGCAAACGAACCTTTAAACACATGGATGTTGACCGGACCAGACCGACCACATATAATTCCCTTTCTCCTGAAAAGTTCTCAATGCAAACCCAGAGCACTTGGAAATTTCAAGAACTTGACTTTCCCGATTCTTTCATAGTTTCTGGAAACAACCTCCCTTTCAGAACTCAAGTTTCAAAGCTATGGCCTTTTTTGACCGGTTACTGTGAACATGTGAAAAATTCAAAAATAACAGCTTTAGATCTTAGAACCTTTCATTGCAAAAACATCACAAAACTTTGCTTCCTTGTGGGACTTTCTGTGCATCTCCTGATTTACTGACTAGCGTACTCGTCCCCTGGCCAATGTACTCAGCCACAGGCCTCCTGATCTACAATACTTGACCTCACGATATGATATTGATGCGTTGACATTCATTGATCTAATGATTGATCTCCCGGTTCATTACCCATTGATTTACTGATCCATTGAACTCCTGATTTGAATTCCGTCTGACCTACTGCTCTCCTGGTTTCTCCCTTTTGAATAATTTTTCCCGATTTGCCAAGCTTCCATTGATCCTCTGACCTCCTGCCTATTGATCTGTTCTACTGGGTCTGATCTCCTGCACACCAGACCTCCTGATTTAGCGACCGTCCGGCAAGCTTATCTACTGCTCTCCTGGTGTCCGACTGGGATATTCTATTTGCGCGTAATTCTAAAATTCGGGTAGCATTCTTTTGATACTTGTTGTTCTTCTGGCATGGCACACTTTCAGCACGGCCAGATCATGAGCAGATCAGTAGCCTTTGTACTGTGTGAGTCAAGGGTGGACTGGCTTGGCAAAGGGCGTTGGCGAAGTTGATGCGCACGGAACTCTATGGTATTTGGTTGCAAGTTGCGTTGGAATGACTTCGACAAAGCGGGGGCAACAAGCGCAGCAAAAGTGGAAGCGAGCGCGCGTATGCTATAGATGTTGCATTTGACATTACACGGCGGCTGGTCCGGTGGGCCGCTAGGGACATTGCTGGCGTGACTGCCGCGGATATTGCACGGCCGTGGTGAAGTTGGTTCGACAATTTTCGAAACACGTGCAACGTGTCCGTGCCCTTGTCCTTTGCGGGTCAGGGTTGGGGGGGGCCTGGCTGGAACATCGTGCCAGCAAATCTCTGTGCCAGCTAGCGCCGCAAGACGGGAACATGATACGCCGACATAAGGACTCGAAGACCACGCCCCTGAAACAAACCTGATCCAACTCAACTCGACATTCTTGCTTCCTTCTGCGCCTTCCTACAAAGAAACATCGCCACAAGCGAAGAAAAATTATATGTGGGTTTTGCTTTTCAAGTTTTCCATAAGCATTGGGCATTCAATTTCTTCAGAAGAGAAAGATGGCAATGGTAGAACAAGCGGATAAAGAATCGAGATAGGAATATGAAAAACTTGCTTCAACGCTGAATGTACCGAACTTCTGGGCGAGCGCGTTTTTGCGCCATGTTTGCTCTTTACTGGGGGGTTCTCAACCTGCGCAGGACAAATCCTGGTGCCGCATTGTCAAAAACACGCGCGCTTCTGCATGTTTTTTTCAATTGAAGCGTGCTGAAAACGTGCCAATATGGACAAGCTTCCAGCGCGCAAAGCATAGATATCGCAACATGTCCGCTTCTTAAACTCCGCGGCGGCTTTTTGTGACGAAAACAAAGCAACTTCGGGAAACGTTGAGATACCCTGCCATATCGGTGCACCCCGGACAGTCCTGTCCTGGGAAGATAACTGGGTTATTCTTTGGGTCCTGACCTTTCTGACATTAAAATCCTGGTGCCCTGAGCTTTCTAGCTAGAATTTACAATCGAAGACGGCTGAAGCTTGCAGGCACTAACCTCCTGATGCCTAAGATTTCCAAGTTATTTTGTTCTCCTCTGGTGCCAAATGATGAGGGATGCCTTAAGGGAATACCCCCGTCAACATACCTCAGAATAATAAAAATATTATTCCGGCATCCGTTGAGTTCAAAAAAAAAATCTAAGAACTCAATGAAATATATGGAAAAATGGAATAATTTCCATCAAAATGATACCGGTATAGTCTATTTCTAGCCAAATGCAAGTGATCGTAAGCAGCTGCGCGCAAACGGCCGAAAACGGTTTCCCTTCTTGCAGAGCTGGGGCACAAATTTAAACAATTTTCAACATAATCAGACAGGATCAAGAAGAGTCAGAATAGTATCTTTAAACAACTGTCCTCTCAGCAACCCACTGGTTGAACATGGTTTTAATTGGTTTTGGATGTTTTTCCAGTTTCTGGGCTAGTTTGGTGGTTCTGGCCTTAGTGGGAATGAGTGGGAAAAAGAAAATATTTGTTTGTCACTGGTTTTTTTTGCCAATTTCTGGATTTGTTTTGCGATTGTAGCAGCTGCCCACTTTGGTTTTTGAGGGGTGCCAGGCATCTCCAATACCCCCAGAATAATTTCTCCCCTGGGGAAAGCCCACAAAATGGTACCCAACCTGGCTCTCTTCGAGAGGTTTTCCCAACTTTGCGTACTTCCCCCTATTTCTTCCATATTCCCTTCATTTCCTTCAAAAAAACTCCCGTTGGCCATAGTGGGAATGGGTGGGAAATGTGTGGGTTTAATTTGTTTTTTGACAATTCTTGCCAATTTCTGGGCTAATTTGGTGATTAACTGTCCACTTTCGTTTTTGAGGGGTACGAGGCATCTCCAATACCCCTAGAATAATTTCCCCCCTGGGGAAAACCCACACAATGGCACTCAACCTGGCCTTTTCCTAGGTATTTTCCTACCATTCCCCATTCATTGCCACCCAAAGAACTCTCGAGAGAAAGTACCGTGAGAGAAAGGTGGCCCGTTGGACACTAGTTGTGCGTGCAAGTACGCTGCAAAAAAAGGTTGGCAGCAAT